TGGTTACCATTCAAGAGCACGTGGTTTTGCCTAACATACCGTTACCATTCAAGAGCACGTGGTTTTGCCTAATATACGGTTATCATTCAAGAGCACGTGGTTTTGCCTAATATATGGTTATCATTCAAGAGCACGTGGTTTTGCCTCACATTAAGTGTAGGGTTACCATTCAAGAGCACGTGGTTTTGCCTAACATACAGTTATCATTCAAGAGCACGTTGTTTTGCTTAACATAAAGTGTTAGGTTACCATTCAAGAGCACGTGGTTTTGCCTAACATAAAGTATACGGTTACCTTTCAAGCGCACGTGGTTTTGCCTAACATAAAGTATACGGTTACCTTTCAAGAGCACGTGGTTTTGTCTAACATACGGTTATCATTTAAGAGAACGTGGTTTTGCCTAGCATACAGTTATCGTTCAGGAGCACGTGGTTTTGTCTAAGATACGGTTATTATTCAAGAGAACGTGGTTTTGCCCAGCATACAGTTATCATTCAGGAGCACGTGGTTTTGTCTAAGATACGGTTATCATTCAAGAGAACGTGGTTTTGCCTCACATAAAGTGTACGGTTACCATTCAAGAGCACGTGGTTTTGCCTAACATACGGTTATCATTCAAGAGCACGTGGTTTTGCCTCACATTAAGTGTAGGGTTACCATTCAAGAGCACGTGGTTTTGCCTAACATACTGTTATCATTCAAGAGCACGTTGTTTTGCTTAACATAAAGTGTTAGGTTACCATTCAAGAGCACGTGGTTTTGCCTAACATAAAGTATACGGTTACCTTTCAAGAGCACGTGGTTTTGCCTAACATACGGTTATCATTTAAGAGAACGTGGTTTTGCTTAACATAAAGTGTTAGGTTACCATTCAAGAGCACGTGGTTTTGCCTAACATACGGTTATCATTTAAGAGAACGTGGTTTTGCTTAACATAAAGTGTACGGTTACCATTCAAGAGCACGTGGTTTTGCCTAACATACGGTTATCATTCAAGAGCACGTGGTTTTGCTTACATAAAGTGTACGGTTACCATTAAATTGTTTACGGACGCACGACGCCGGACAAAAGGCGATCGCAATAGGTCACTTGAGACTTTTTCTCAGGTGACCTAAAATTTGACTACAGAAAACAATTAAGACTGAAATAAATTGCACTCACCATTTTGAAAATTGCAGCAACCACAAGAGATATGCCCATCTGTATATGAGGCTCTACGGCATCCTCTGGGAAAGGCGTGTATAGAATGTAGGCTATGCCTACAAAGCATACGGCCATGAATAAAAGACAACGTACACTCCCACAGGCCATGTTGAGCAGGATCTACAATTGATACAGAGAGAGAGAGAGATAGCTATTTTATGAACACAAGCAATACCTTGCATACCTTAGAAACCCCTACTCAAAGGAAGGGGCCCTTTTAAGAGGCCGATGATTATATATATATATATATATGTATAATTAGGGGACACATCATCAGATAATCAAAAGTGATATAGCGTGTGTTTCAAAATGGGTGTCCTGTAAATGCACACACGGTAGATAGCATGTACCCTTTTCTACATTTAGCATACTCGACCAACAAGTAGTAAGAGAAAATACATGAAGACAGAAAATAATTACCATTCAAAGTTCTGTTCATCTAAAAAGAAGATTAAAAAGTTGACGAATAGTCGGACATTTGCTTATCCCTTTTGGGAGCCACTTGTTCCTACACATTATCTTTATTTGTATAGATGCGACCAAAATCGGATAGTTTTATAATAACAAGAGGCCAAGAGGGCCTGTGTCGCTCACCTGGAAATGTTAGTAAAATTGAAGTTGGAATAGCTCGATGTTGCTGGTAGTGTACATGTATTACATGGTTAGTCTGGGGTTATATTTATATGTAAATTGGACAAAATCCTGTCATTCCTACAAGAAAAGAAGGATTTTGAAGAGTTTGCTATGTTTCCCCTATTGGGCCCCGCCCTTCTGCCGCGAGGAGGGTCAGACCCACCTTCGACATAAAATCAGGTCGCTGTTACCTAATGATGCTTTAGACCAAATATGGACAAAATCCTGTTATTCCTACAGAAGAAGAATTTTCAAGAATTTGCTAAATTACCTCTATTGGGCCCCACCTCTCAGGCCCCAGGGGGTCAGGCACACCATTTACACAAAATTGATTTCCCTTCCCCATAGGATGCTACTGTTCAAATTTGATCAAAATACATTGTACCTTCAACCAAACGGAAGAAAAAAGGGGGGTCAGACACACAGCTTATACAAAATTGGTTCCCCTTCACCCAAGGATATACCATACCAAATTTGGACAAAATCCTGTCTTTCCTACAGAAGGACAAGGATTTTGAAGAATTTGCTATGTTTCCCCTATTAGGCTCCGCTCCTCTGCCCCCAGGGGGCCACACCAAGACCAAGATGCAAGGATGCTCCAGACTTTTTTTAGGATAAAATACTTTAATCTCTATGGTAAAGGATTTAAATGTTTTACCTCTATTTCCCCTATTTTACCCTGCCCCTCTGCCCCCAGGTGGGCCATACACACCGTTTATACAAAATTGAGTCTCCTTGGCCTAAGGATGCTCCAGATCAAATTTAGTCAAAATCTACCTAACCGTTCAGGACTTGTAGCGTTTTAAAGAAAAAGTTGACGGACGCTGTGGTATGGCATAAGCTCACCCTGGTCCTTCGGACCAGGTGAGCTAAAAACAGTGTTCAGGGATTACATGCTAGTGTTGATTTTGTACTCTATTTTAAATACTGACAAAGAGATAAACAAATCTGAACAGATTTTAAAAGGTATCCCTAAAACAAAGTTGTGAAATGTCAACTTTAAGTGATATAACGTGCTTTTACATGCGAGATGTAATATAATCTGAAGAGTACGCACTTTAATGTCAAAACAATAGTATCGCATATGATTTCTTGTACAGATAACTGCAATGAAATCCCCGTCTTACTGCAATCCGACATTTGTTGTCTATGAAATATACTTACTGAGGTTACATGAAACTATTTCCTGCGTTTAGCTTGCAACACGCGAGTAAACTATCATACTAATTATAATTAACACATACTTGTATGTTTGTGGTGTAAATAAGTTTTAGGTAGAACATTTTCTAAACATGTAATGTGTTTATTGCCGTTATTATTTGATTACCGAATTGACCGATTAACCGGTTACTGGATCAGCAGATTGTTAGAGTAACCGGTTACTGGATCGGCAGATTGTTCGAGTAACCAGTTACTGGATCAGCAGATTGTTCAAGTAACCGGTTACTGGATCGGCAGATTGTTAGAGTAACCGGTTACTGGATCGGCAGATTGTTCGAGTAACCGGTTACTGGATCAGCAGATTGTTAGAGTAACTGGTTACTGGATCGGCAGATTGTTAGAGTAATGGTTACTGGATCAGCAGATTGTTAGAGTAACCGGTTACTGGATCAGCAGATTGTTAGAGTAACCGGTTACTGGATCGGCAGATTGGAACCGGTTACAAAAATATGACCAGCTTGACAACCCTTAGTATTATGGCATTTTCTGATGTATCACTTGCGACTACAGGGTTGGTTTCGGTACCTTATGAAACGGTCCCTGTTACAACTAGATATTGTTATATTTTATAATAACACATATTATTTTGGGGTGTTGACTTCTGGGCCCAGGGAAAGGGATAAAGGTATTTCATATATAATATCAGTCTATGGGTGGGTTTAGAGTGAAAGTAAACAAACGCTTGTCTACGTGCCTGCACATATGAACCTTCTGCGTTATCTCTAGATCTCTTGTCCTTGATCTGACACCGTACAAGGATACAGGTTCAGTACCTAAACACACCATTCTTCTGCAATATTTATGATGCATGTATATGTAACTAGGTATTTTCAGAAGACTTTATCAATATCAAACTTAGGATAAGTAATTACTTACATAATGTTAGAGTCCGGGTGTATCTCCGCGCAAGGCTGGCGTGACGTCACACAGGTGTACACAACCTTGAGTTAAGGTATATGTTACTGATAATCAGTCCGATAAAAGTTGAGTACGTTGTACACACAGATATTCCCAATAAACTTCCAGTTAAATGTGTAGATAAACATACTCTGCGCTGTATTTATTAGAATATATGTGGTAACATCAGCATTGGGATGCATGGTTGTCTTTGGTATTTACCGTACATTGTTTTTCCCTACAAATATCTTATTGTTTTTCTCGACATCAAAACAACTCGGGGTGGGGTGGGTGGATGGGTTTTGTAGGGGGGTAAAATTACATTAGGAAGAATAATACTATCGTAACATTTGAAAATACACGATTGTTATCATCATTTACGTATACACATGTATTTCTACAGCTTTAGGCGGGTTTATCTCATGCCCTCAATCGGGGATTCGTCCCTGGATTCTGACCAGGTAGCCCTTAGATTTCCCTTCATAAAATAGTGGATCTGTGCATATCAAGTCGTATCTTAACGGAAGGCGCTATATTCGGACCAAACTGACAGAACTTCGAACTCCGGTGGTCGAGACTTCATCCATACGGATTAAGGACCCCTGTACCAGTGCCCAAATATGTATCTATGCCTAAGAAATGGTTCTTTCTGGCCCGACTCGAGCTTATATAATTATTAAATTATTTGTCAATACCAAACCATACCTTGTGGTACACTTAAACGAACAAAATAAAGCAGATGAAAACAAAATATATTCAAGTTTTATGAACGTAAACATATTTTGGCTGGGCTAGGCCAGACTGAACACCTGGACTTTAGATTATTATGCTATCGCTCTACCCGCTGAACAGAAGTTTGTTTGATTGGACGGCTGAGGTCATTTAAGGCGATGGTGATTTGTTTGTTTTGTTTAAACAAACATGAGAGTAGCGAAGATGAAATCAGATAAAAATGTTCATTTTTAAAAGCATTCCCATTGTATGTGTAGATAATTACAAGAGATCCCAGAGGGATCTTGGCGCCCACCTTTGTACCATCTTCATTAGTTCTTTGTCAGTTCGTTTTTTTCTCTTCTTTCCTCTAATCTGTTTGATCGAGACATGTTAACAGTAAATGCACCTTGAGGTAACTTTTGATCTAAACTTAATACTGATGTGTATGAAAGCCAACCTTCAAAGTGAGTTTGTCATTTCACATATTTACTAGTACAGTACTTAATGTGAAAGAAATAGAATCGATCATTGCAATATGAGAAAGATCTGTTTAGTTCTTCTTTTAATCCATTTTGTTTTTATGATCAGTCTCAAAATATAACAT